TAATGTTAACATAAAGCTCAGATAAATAACAGATAATTTAGATCTATCCATATATTTCTACTTCCCCATCAGGCTCTATACCAGTTCCCCATCAAGCTCCTATATATATATATATATATATATATATATATATATATATATATATGATTTTAAATTATATCGCAATATATTTAAATTATATCGCAAATCACATGGATTAATTGATTCGTAGTTATTTCAGTTTGATTAGTTGTCTCAAGTTTGAGTCCTAGATATAAATTCAGTAGAAAAAATATTGTCACTCTTAGATCTTATTCAGCTTGAATCAAATTAATTTATTAATTGATTAATCAGTGGAGCACTTTAAAAGAAATCATTATTTTTAATAATTATTATTACTATTGTATTATTTTCATACTTTTCATTTAGATTCACTTACTACTAATCTGAACTAACTTAGAATAAAAATAATGTTGATGTTTGATTATCACTGTTATACAATATTCTTGAAAGTTGCGCCTATCCTTTTACATCCTATTTGTCTTAACTTTTCAATACTTAAAATAAATGTTAGGAAAAGTATTTGTCATTTTAAACGACATAACACTCTGTCCTTGTAAGAGAGAGATAGACACACAAAAAATTTATTTAAATTTTAAATTAAAAAATCATCCACTTTCTCTCTCTTATGATTTCTATTTTTCTGTGTATATCTCTCTTCTAAAATGACATAACTTATGTCATTTAAAATGACAAATACCAAACTCATAAATGTTTGTTCAAATAAAGTAAAAAAAAAAAAATCTTTTACGAAGGAATGATGTGGTGCGTTAGTAAAAATATAAAACAAATATAGCGTAAGTTAAAAAATAACTCACAAAATATCATTGTATATTAAATTACTTAAATTTTTATGACATATCATTATTTTATATTTAAAATAATAGATTATCAAATAGTTATTAACTTAATTTACATAATTTATATAAACTAAATCAATAGAATAACGTCTTTCCAAGAGGATGGTGTCAGGTAAAGGAACTGCCGTTGTGATTGGATTGTTCTTGTACATCGGATTTGGTTCTCTTAATCTATGTAGCACCGATACTGACATGAGACACGTAACACGATACGATACGGAACTTTGACACATTAATTTTAAAAAATGTTAAATTTCGACATATTAAAACACGTTTTGATATTAAATAATATTTTTAATTTATGTAGTGCATATTATATTTAATATTCAATAATTTAAAAAAAAATAAAACTGAACTTATAATATTCATCAATTTTGCAAAGAAACATAAGATATCTCAAATATTTACTTTAAACTGAATAAAATGGTAATCGTGATCCAACGAATCTAATAGTTGGAACTAAAAACACAACACAAAGCAACCTTTGAACCTTTTTTGAATTTCTATAACGCGTGTTGGAGTGTCGGGGGTATCGGAGTATCTGAGAGTGTCAGAAAATGTCGGACACAACAAGTTAAGATTTTTGAAGTGTCGGTACTTCATAAGTTGTAACTTGCAAACGCATGCACTTGTAGCATACAGGGAGCATATATGATGATGGGCTTACAACATATATAATTTGGGTAAAATGTTTAACCTTTTAAATGACATAATTTATATTATTTCACTCTCATAAAGAGATGAGACTCACACCTTTATTTTTTTTTGTCAACTCTTTCACCTCATTTATCTATCTCTTTCTCTTTTTTAAAATGACACAACTTTATATCTTCATTTAAAATGAGACACACTTTTCCCATATAATTTTTAGTTGAACTTGAAAATTCTAAAATTGTTTTAAAAAGGGGAAGGTGATGCATTGGCAACCAGCGTTAAGGACAAAGCAATGCCATGGTCCCGCCACTGCAGTTGCCACGCATACAAAATCGAAAAACATGTAGTTTGATAGTGGCCGGTCATTGCTATATGAAAACCCAAAAAATGGCCTAAAAAATGTGTTTGCTTTAGGCCTAACACCCTAAAATGGTTGCTCAATATGGCCCCTGAATTTATTTGGGCTTTGATGAAACCAACTTATAGTCCATAAGAGTGTGTTGAAATTGTATTTGGGTTCCCAAAATAAAATAGGCCCATAACAAAAGAAAGACAACACAATTACATATTTGACTTTGTTGTGCTTAATACTTTTAAAAATTCTTTAATTTAGAACAGTTTATGAATTGACCAAATGATAAAATTTTATTTACCAATATATATATATATATATATATATATATATATATATATATAAGGTTTATTTTTTATGCGATCAATATAGATAACTTATCTATATTGAGCCAGAAACGACATCGTTTTAAAGCGAAAATCAAGGTATTTTTGTAATTATAATTTATTTCAGGGTTATAATAGTCTTTTTAATTATATTTTTTTTTTGAAAATACTTCAATCGGTTCATCGCTTCGCGACTAGTCCGATTCGGGGCGGGTCCAGGATTAAGGCGTTAATCTTTCACCATTTATCACCATTTTGAATGGTTATAATTTTCATTTTTTCTCTCTTCCTTTATCACATTTGATCCATCTTTGTACAGTTATGATTTAATAGTCAGATTTCATGTAATTTGATAAATGATAAGCCATATGTATATATATATATATAGGGCTTACCATTTCTCAAACTACTTGAGATAATTTTATCTCCGGCTACTAAATCATAACCGTACAAAGATGGATCAATGGTGATAAAGGAAGTGAGAGAAAAAGGGAATCATAAACATTCAAAGGTGAATCAATTAATATAAGAAAATAAATAAACAAAACGACGTAGTTTTCGGGTGGCCGGAGATAAAGTTATCTCAAGTTGCCGGAGAAATGTTTTTGTCATATAGGGAAAAACATTTCTCAAGTAGCTTGAGATAAGTTTATCTCCGGTCACTCCAAAACTACGTCGTTTTATTTATTTATTTCCTTATATTAACTAATTCACCTTTGAATTGTTATGATTCTCTTTTTTTCTCTATTCCTTTATCACTATCGATCCATCTTTATACGGTTATGATTTAGTAGCCGGAGATAAAATTATCTCAAGCAGCTTGAGAAATGATAAGCGCATATATATATATATATATATATATATATATATATATATATATATATATATATATATATAGAGGTAGGATCCTTTGACACCGGTATCAAATTTGAAGTTTGACACTTCATCTGAGAGCCGTTAGATCAAAAAAGATCAACGACTCTGATTTGGCACCATTGATCTTTTTTGATCTAACGGCTTTCAGATGAGGTGTCAAACTTTAAATTTGACACCGGTGTCAAAGAATCCTACCTCACACACACACACACATATATATATATATATATATGATATTCTTACTACCAAATGTTTCTATAATCGTTTTTCAGACGACAATCTCTGATAAGTTTTTAAAGAGAGAAAAAAATAGCTTTTAATGTACTCTACTGGTGGGAGTACATAGTTATATTAGAGTGATATTTAGTAATAAGAATATTTTACCTATATATATATAGGGGAAGGATACGGTAACAATCAATTAGTGTTACTACTAATGTTAATACCAATCAATTTAACCATTAAATCAATTATGTTGATCCAATGGTTATATTTATTTTCATCTTTGTATGATTATGATTCCTCATATTTAATACTTTATATTTATTTTCACCTTTGTATGGTCTTGATTTTCTATATTTAATGCTTTCACATTAAATATGGGGAATCATGACCATACAAAGGTGGAAAGACAATAACTGTTGGATCAAGATAATCGATCTATCAGTGAAATTGATTGGTAGTAACACTAATTGGTTGTTACAATATCCTACCCCATATATATAAGCTTATCTTAAAAAATTAATTAAATTTTTATTTACAATTTCTTAAAAAAATTATTTCCTTGTATTCAAAATAAAGAAATCTTTTGCGTAGGTTTTTTTTTTTTTTTTTTTTTCATATTACCCTTCTTGAACTTTCTACCTGTCTTTAATGCCTGTAGTTCAACCCAGGAGATTAGAAACGCTTATCCAGTAACAGGTGGCAACTAAATTTCATGAATTAGTGTAAAGTAATTCATTAGATTTGAGATGCCAAAATCTAGTTCTTTAAATTACAACCAAAAGTGTACCCCAAAAAAAGTACAACAGAAAAGAAAATGAGTTATTTTACTGAAAATATTAATTTTTAATTCAATATTTCTGAACCTGGTTTTTAGAAATAATTAAATAAAAAAGAATTCAATATTTATCTTTTAAAAAAAAGAAAGGTTATACTTACAACATATTTTTGTTTACAATCTTTTACAATCATAATCTTAACCGTTGATTTTTGTCAATCAATGGTTATTATTTATTGTGAATTAATAATTAATTAATAAATTTAATTGACGAAAACAATAACCGTTGATTGACAGAAATCAACGGTTAAGATTATAGTTGTAAAAGGTTTTAAATAAAAATAGGAGGTAAGGATAACTTTTCTTTTTAAAAAATATAAAATTATGTTATTTTAAATGAAAAAAGTGAGAAACAATAAAAAGTATAGAAAAAAAAGTAAATAATTTTTTTTAATTTAATTTTTAAATAAAAATACTAATTTTAAATAAAATGACTCTCAACAGAAAAAAAAAACAAAAAAAAACAGTAAATGTCTAAGTGTCTGTTTGAATCCTCTCTTTTTAAATTTAGAAGTTACTTATAAGGATAAGTTAAGCCAAATAAATTTTGTAAAAAACTCTTATAATGAAAAAAAAAATTTATAATAAAAAAAATTAAAAGTTAAAGCTTCTGGGAAGAGTTTTTTTTAAAACCTTTATTTATTTTTTTAAATTATATGTTTTTTTTTTTAAATGATGAGGCATGGATATATAGAGAGAAAGTAAAAAAGGACAGCATTCCCCAATATCTGCCAACTAATAAAACCCCACATTTCCAAGGCTCGCTGTTTCAATATCTAACGTTACCAAAATAAAGTTCCCTTTTTTTAACATTCTTCTATATCTGGTTTTCTTTCAAAAATTTCCAAACAAACCCCATGATGTTTCTTTTCTTTCATTCACACCAACCCAGTTCCCCCATTTGATTTTGATTCTACTTTCTTACACATTTCACAAATCAAAATTGTTTTTTTTTTTTTTCTCCTCTCTCTTTCTCTCATTTTCCCTCTAGCCAAACACCACATAGAAAACTACAAGTTTGTGTTGTGGGGCAAATGGGGGCATACAGAGCCGATGAGGATTACGACTACCTGTTCAAGGTGGTGCTGATTGGGGACTCGGGTGTAGGAAAATCCAATCTTCTGTCGAGGTTCACCAAAAATGAATTCAGCCTCGAATCCAAGTCCACCATTGGGGTTGAGTTCGCCACCAGAAGCATTCGGGTCGATGATAAGGTTGTCAAGGCTCAGATTTGGGACACTGCTGGTCAAGAAAGGTTCAAATTCTTTTCAAATTTTTTTTTAATTATTATTGTTAGTGTTATCTGACTTATCTCTCTCTTTCATGCTTGAATTGGGTTATAGCCATTGATTCTGTTGTGTTATGAAGATTTGATTTTTGCATTTAGGGAAGGAGGAATGAAGGTGGATATGTTATGTGGTTCGTTAAGGCTTTAAGCTGCTTTTGTTTTTCATGCGCCCTTTGTGCTGATAATTAGAATAGATGGTACATTGGAAGCTTTTCTGTTTTCCACATGAGGGAAAATGTTGTTGTTCTTAGAATTTTGAATTTTCCTTTTGCAGACGCCGTTTTGTTGTAAAATTATGATTGGACTTGCGCTTGTTATTTCAGAATGATGTATGCTTTGATTTCTTGTTGAAATAATCTAATTTGTTTCTTTTGGTGACTTTTAAGTTTGATAAGCAAACATTTCAATATTGTTGTTATGTTAATTCTCGTAGCTTCTTTGAAAAGGTGTTAGAGTTGCGCGTAACTTTGTAAGGAACATTTTAAGCAGGCAATAAAAAAATACGAAGACATCATCCTTTAGTACCACAAAGGTTAGCAATGTCTGAAGTTTATTATGATAAGGTGGTCAAAAAAGAAGGTCAAAATGATAATGTTTCTGACAATGTAGTTAAGGAAACTAGGGTTATGTGGGAAGTTGGATGGTAGGTGGCTTTAAATAACTCAAATTGGTTTCTTAACTAATAAAAGAGGAATTCAGACGAAATTTTTTAACACCATATATTTGGTTAGACTTTTCATTCCATTAGAACCTGTTGAGATCTCACAACATCTGGGTATATGGGTAAAGTACCCCTTATATTGACTTGGGCAATTCTTTCCCTTAAACTAGCTTTTGGAGTTGAATTAGGTCTACAGTCTGTTCTCAATTCTAATAGAACTGATTTTCTATACTATGTTAAGTTACACATTTCTTGGTGTCGAATGTCAATATGATTCCATTCTAGCTTTCTTTTATTGCGTGTTTAGTTGTTAATTATCAAGTGCATCTGAAAATCATACTTCATTTCCAAAATGATTCATTTGAATTTCCTCTTCAAAATGACCAAAATATAAGTGATAAAGCTGCTCCTTCACGACCTTTCAGAGTTTCAGTCACAGGTTCAAATATAAGAGATAGTCTTTTTGCTAAAAAGCAAGGGTAAGGTTGCATACGGGAATCTCCTTTCCCCTTTTGATGGCCAAAAGAGAACTTGTTCTTTTCTGTTTTTCTTTATGCAACAAAGTTGGAACTCGTATGACTTTCTTTCTAAGTTCATTTCTTTCTTAGCTACCAGCTTTCTGAGGAGCTTGCTATTTTTTGTTAGGTCTTAGAGAAAAGAAATCTAAGAATAAATGTATTTATAGGTTTAATGCCTGAGGAAGTGCAGGAAGGAAATTGAAAACGGATGACATGTCATTGCTAAGATATGAATATTATTTTCCATAGCATTTAAGATTGATATGTGAACATGCTAAGGTTATAGTTATAGCATGAGGGTTATAGGGTTGCTCGTAATTAGGTAAGGGACATATATTAACTACTGGATGATAGAAGAAATTAAGACAACTGGGTTTGTATTATTATGATTATGAATGCCTGAAATTTTTCTGTAAAATGATGGCTGAAAAGAATGTCAGTATGGTAATGCTGTTAATGAACTAGTTAGCTGAATAGTTATAGTCACTACAGAAGAAGCCATTGGGCAGCTAGTCAAGTTGGTTTCCTTCTAATGAAACAGTAATTCAGTGGAAACTGTACGTGAGACATATATATTTCCTTTATTTGGTTAGACATTCTGTGCCACTGGAATTTATTTTTAATTATAGTTGAACTGCGTCATTTAATTTATGTATCTGTTTGTGACAATATGGTGTTTTATTATAACTTCCTTCAGTGCTAGCTTAAGTTTTCAAAGATCCAATGCCTTTGACAATGCTGCTTTATTTTCAAAATTATGCCTTCAACAGTTCATTTCTAGTCTGCTCTAGTACAACTAAGTTGAAATTCATATGACTTTCTTTGAGCCATTACTGTTTTCTTTTCTGATTGACTGCTATCTTTCCGAGGACATTGATCCTATCTGCCAGGTCTTGGAGACAAGAAATATAAGAACAAAGATAAAAATACTTGAGGAAGGAAAAACTTAAAGGGAGAATGCACAAGAAGCTATTGATAAATAAAATTGAAAAGAAAGGAAGTTAATCTTCCTTTTCCTGTAAATTAAATTGGTTATTCAATATCACTTAGCTTCTTAATTGAGCTGGCCGATAATTAAATACCAAATATATGCAAGCAGGCCAGTAGTCTTGTTGATTCATAAATCCTAACAAGAATCTTTCAAAGTAACATCACCTAATTCTAGATTCCACGTCAATATGATGTACCATGCTGTATTTATTAACTTTTTATTTGAGATATCTATCTTAGTTTGCTTTTCTTTACCAAAGGTACCGAGCAATTACAAGTGCATATTATCGAGGAGCTGTGGGTGCTTTACTCGTGTATGATGTTACTCGCCATGTTACATTTGAAAATGTGGAGAGATGGCTAAAGGAGCTGAGAGATCACACAGATGCCAACATTGTGGTGATGCTTGTAGGGAACAAAGCAGACCTGCGTCATTTGCGAGCTGTTTCCACCGAAGATGCTACAACTTTTGCTGAACGTGAGAACACATTTTTCATGGAAACATCTGCCCTTGAGTCAATGAACGTTGAAAATGCCTTCACAGAAGTGCTGACCCAGATCTATCGTGTTGTAAGCAAGAAGGCCCTTGAGATTGGTGATGATCCAGCAGCTTTACCAAAAGGACAGACAATTAACATTGGATCACGTGATGATGTATCAGCTGTGAAGAAAACTGGATGTTGTTCTACCTGAGTATGTAGTAAAAGTTTCTGTATTTTGTACTTTTAGAATTTATGCCCTGTTTATACAGTGTAGAGATTGATATGAAAGCATGAAGATGATTCTCTAGGGAGCATCAAACTATTAAGTCTCTGCTTTGGTTTGTAGAGAATTCTGTTCAATGTTTGCTAGATGTTTAGGAAACATGCAAACTCATTTTTGCATAATTTATATTTTTCGTGTCGTTTTAAGATATTAATTTATCTAATTTCGGATTTATCAATTCGGTTCTTTCCTTAGTCTTTCGTGATACTTTTATTTGTTCTCATCTATGCTTGCATGTTGACAAAGCAGATTGTTCTGTCTGGTTCTTTCCCTGCATAGCTTTTTTCTTCCTTTCATAATGAAGAGAATATTGAAAATTTGATAAATTGTTTTCTCTTCCCTTTTGGAGAATAACTAGCTGCCGGGTATGATTATCATAACTCATTACTTGGAGAGACTTGATACTCAATATAGATTAGGAAAAGGTTAAATCTTCTTGTAGGGTTATCGAAAGGCCCTTTTTGATGTTTTTCCTTGGAGTATTGTTATCCATTGCTAATTGGATTTGGTTTTTCAAACTTTTTAATTATTATATTTTTCTTGGAGAGCTAGCATGCGCAAAGGCTAATATGCTTTCATTAATTAATTATATGATTGATAACCATATCATGTTAGGCATCAAGAAATACGTTGGTTGTTATTGACAGCAAAATATAAACAAACCACCTACACGAACGTTTTACGATTAGAAGAGAGTGATGACTCCTTTCACTTTCTTCTTTATTTTCTTTTCTATCATTTACCTTTCTCGTTTTTTTTTTTTTGTTATTGCTCCCTAAGTGATTTCAAGAGACCCTAAACTGATTTGGCCTCAAGCCACTACAATTGAAATAGCAATGAGAGGGTTAGATTATTTGCATGAAACCATATATTTAAATCTCAATGCGTCATCATTATACTTTATACCTAAAAAGAAAAAGGGAAAAAAAAACTCATTTGGACTTGTTGACAACATTGAAGGTTAGTCCTGCAATTTTGAAGACTAGTCTTGCTCGTGGTTCACAACCTCGTTGAGTTAAAGTTGATTTGCTTTTACACCCAAATTAGATTCTTTCCAAATGTGGTTACATACAAAAACTCACTGTTAGCGCTTTCACCATTTTGAAAGATTTCACGTGACATCTATGACATTTTCAGCTGAAAAAAATGTATGTTTTTAAACCTTAAGTGGGCTTTTAATAACCATGGTTTTGAGAGCATTTGAGTGTTACATTCTTAAAACAGAAAGTGCATGCTAGTAACTCCAACGATAAAAATAAAAGCATAGCATTTTTATTTTGGGAAAACATAATGTTGTCCATATGACTGCAAAAATGTGCCTCTCATAGCCACCGTAAGAAGCTGCAACCTTTATGAAGAATTATACTGCGAGAATTTTATTAGGAAATTAACAGTTTTGTTCAACTTGACAAACAAGTTTTGGGAAAATGACAGTTCTGTTCGATTTGGAAAACAAGTTGGACATTTTAGTTTGTGTTTGAATATCAATAAATTACTTATAATTAACAATAAATTTAAAAACTTTGTGCAAGCCAAAAAAACAATCATTTTCCATAATTGCTTGCCATATAATATTCATGAAGAAAACAACGTGAACGCATGCATTATAAGTTTAGTTGCCAAGAAAAGTGAGCCTCGAAGTAGCAAGATAATCAATAATTTGTGCTCAAGCAAAATTTTCAGCTTTCGTTAACAATTTAGATGCATAAACATTTACATTAAAAGATATTATAAGCAACTGTTATAAAAAAAAAAAAAAAAAGATATTATAAGCAACAAATGAAAAGCAGATGGAAGATGACAAAGGGCCAGAAAAAGAAACTACTTCCCTTGGCCAGACATGGAGAAAAAAGTACATACAATAAAGATTTCGAGCCACACACAATGAGGAAATAATTGCATTACATGTATGGTAATATCCAATATAAAGCTAAATGAACTTGTTAAAATGTAGTAAGGGCAAAGATTCCTCGAGCAAATATGGATTAAAACTAGGTCACACGACATCCTCCAGAAGATTTACTTGCGTGCTTCAGCCTTCTTCTGTTCTTTGGCTGAAACAATTGATTTAGTTATCACTTATCAGTTTCAACTTGCAAGCTTCGGGGGTATCAGCAAAGAGTAAGCAAACCAAACAGCATTTAAAACTTACCAGCTTTCTCTTCTTCTCGCTTTTTAGCAGCTTCTGCCCTTTGTTGACGTATAAGAGCTAAACGCTCTGCATGACAAGGAAATAGAACATTATTCATAGGGAAATGAAAGTCACACATAGCACAAGTGCTTTTTTTTCGTTTTTTTTTTTTTTTTAATCGGGAGGCGGGGGGGTTAGACTTTTAAGACTGATGATATATTATGTTTGTCATTTAACCCTGCAAAACATATTTTATTTCCATTAAACCTTTAATTAGAGACATTATTTCAAGAGCCACTAGTACCTAAATCTTTCTTGGCTTGTTCTGTTTTTCCTTGCTCTTGCAGCTTCATATAGCGCTCATGAGCTCTCTGTTTCTCTAGCTCCTCTCTGAAAACAGGTGTATATTTAAGATATTAGAAAAAACAATAATACAAAATCTTCACCTTCCAGAATTTGTCAATTTAGAGCAGAAGGATAAGACGAAAAAGAATGTACTGCAATCCTTTAACAATAAGCAACACCTTTTCAAGTGTGTGATTATCCCCGTAAACAATAAGCAAATGAAACGAAGCATACCTTTCACGCCTTGAAAGCTCAGTTGTTTTCCCAACCTGCATTGGGAAGTAAATAGCATTATTCTTCTCCATATAATTTAATAACTACAAAGATTTCTAATAAAGGGCCAAAAATGGAAAGATGAACTCACATCAACGTCTCTAGCTTTCAAGCTCTTCGGCTTTACTAAGTTAGGGTTTTCAATCTCGATAACCCCTTGAGTACCTTTTGTCTTCTGCAGACATTATATAGCAACAGTACAGTCAATTTCATATTGGTGGAGGCAGACCTTAGAAACATATAAAACACACACCAAAAAAAAAAAGAAAAAAGAAACGCAGTCCCTCTATATTAGTAATTGATTGTAATATACTAACGGTAGTTCCTTCTTCGGATTCTTCTTCAGATTCATCCCCGGAAGCTTCCTCAGATTCCTCCTCTTCATGCTCGGCTTCTTTCTATTAAGGTCATACAGAAAATGGCCATGTTAAATAAATAAATATTGATTTGTAAAACATCTAAAGAAAATGGAAAACAACTTAAGAAAAACAATGTACAGATTACCTAAGCTTAAGACAAACAAGGAAATAGTTTAAATCAGTATCCATTAAGATCTGAATTCATCAACTGCCATAATCTTCTATTCTTTTCAATGACTCGGGCCACTTCACCAAACTAAGCAATTAACCTAAGCTTAAACCCAAAAACTATAAGGAAGCGACCAAGAAGTTGTTTAATAGGAACCAAATTAAATAGTGCTATACTTACATAATCAAAAAAGATATTTAAACCTATAGAAAACTATCAGGTATGCATCTGAACGAGAGTAAGAGAGAGAAATCAAAGAAGCAGAGGAAAATTGTAAAGAACCAATTTAACCAAAAAACTTAAGCATGGATAACGTACAGACCCATTCTTCATTTTGTTTTTTTTTGTTACCTTGTGCTTAAATTCAACTGTTTAGAAGAATGAGTAATTGAACTCTAGACCATCTAGTCATGGGCTCATTTACCATGTAAAGAATTAATTTAACCCAAAAACTTAAGTTGTATTTATTTTATATTAAATCTCTTAACAAAAAATAAGCAATGAACCTAAGCTAAAACACAAAAACTAAAAGGAAGCGACCAAGAAGTTGTTTAATAGGAACCAAAATTAAATAGTGCTATACTTACGTAATCAAAAAGATATTTAAACATATAGAAAACTATCCTGTGTGCATGTTAATGAGAGAGAGAGAGAGAGAGATTGAGAGTGGAGGAAGGGTAGGAGGCAGAAGAAAACCTGTTTAAAAGACCTAGGACGGGTTGAGGTACCAGCAACTGCAGTAATCAAAAGAAACATTAAGTTTTCATAACTGCTTCATTTCTTTATGTCGATAAGAAATATCATTTCTTTATGTCAATGACTCACGTCTCATTCAACTGTCAGGGAGCTTGTATTTTCACAAAAATGAATCAGACAAAAGTACAAAACTCAACAATAAATTTCACAAGCCAGGAGGCCACGAACAGTAACTTGAATTCAGTTCAAATAACAAGATTTTCATAAATCTTCAAACTTGCAGTCATTCCAGATCTAACAATCCCGTAAATAAATAAAAATTCAAAAAAATCGAACAATATACTTCCATATGAAAATTGAAACATGCCCACAAACCAAAAATCAATAGCAATTACTCTTTTAAGCTAAAAATCAGATTTTGTCAAAAAAAAAATAAAAAAATGGGAAAAGCAAAGCACAGCGCATCCACAAACCAAAAACCAATATCAATTGAACTACCCTTATCTCAACGCTTATTCATCACAGCAAAGAGGTAAATTTTCGTGGGGAATCAAGCAGAAAAATAAAAGGGGTTGATTGAATTGTGCTTACTGAGGTCCTCCGGGGTAGAAAATTGGCGGCGACCAGTGGGCTTGCTCTTGTATTTTCCCCTTCCCATGGTGGAAATTGCAAAGGTGACCAAATGGAAAGGACCCAAAGCTACAAAACTTTTTTCTGTTTTCTGCAATTTATGTGAATAATAGCAAAGCGTGAGCCTTTTTTGGGATTCAAGTGGGAAAAAAAATTAAAATAATGTAATTAATTAAAATAATTACGTATTTAATGCTGTTTTGTTAACAATTACACATCTGTTACACAATAAGATGCTCTCTTTGGGCGTGACATGTGACGCCCCAGTGAGGCGTCTCCCTTTTTGTCCAAAATATTCAGTTTGTGGAAAACCCTAGTTTAGTAATTATAGTTTTCAACTGAAAACAATTTTCGGTGATCGAATCTGGCTTTTATTTATTGATGGGTTTCAGCAATTGTGATATTAAATGATATAAGTTATGTCATTTTAGGAAAGAGATAGACACAGAAAAATAGAAATCATGAGAGAGAGAAAGAATGTGATTTTTTTTTAATTTAAAATTTAGATAAAAAAAAAATTTGTATCTGTTTCTCTCTTAAAAGGATAGAGTGTTATGTCATTTAAAATGACAAACACTGTATTTATTTACATTACTTTTTTAAATACTATATCAAAATACGCAATTTTTTATGATTAATTATTTAATCTTTAATTTATTTTTAGATAATCTTTTATTTATTTTATGAGGTTGGTTATACTTATAATTTTTTTTCTTACAATCACTTTATCATTGTTAGATCATAATCAAAACAATAATCTTTATTTGATATCATTTTATAACTATTAATTTAATGATAAAAAATTACGAATATAAGAAAAAATTATCGAGTGAGATTTTCTATTTAATTTTTATTTAACTATAACAAAGTAATTATAAAAAATTATAAATATAATCAACCTCCTAAAATAAATCAAAGATTACATGATTAATCATAAAAAAATTGTGTATTTTGATATAGTATTTAAAAAAGAAATCTAAAAAAAATTAAAGATTATAGAAGAAAATAAATCAAACATTAAATAATTAATCAAAAAAAAGTTAGATTCGATCACCTAAAGTTGTTTTCAGTTGAGAACTATAATTACTGAACTAAGGTTTTCCATAAACTGAAACGATTGGGACAAAAGTTAATGTCTGTTTCACAATACTCATATCCGCTTAGTCGGATTTTTTATGAATATGTTCCGGAAAAAAAAAATATCAACCAGCAATCATGTAAACAAACTGATAAAGAGTTATTACAACTAAATAGTTTAAACACTCGGTAAATATAACTTGCCTCTTATGGTTCTACCCATCCGGATAATAAAAAACAAAAATTCAAATACTTTAAATGATTTTCTTTTGAATCACTTACTCCTTTATTTATTTTTATCATTTATTCACATTTTTTTTTTCACTCAAATCTATTCTTAATACTATTAAAAACTTAATTAATATGTCTAGTTTACCTCTCTTATAAAAAATACTTCACTATCTTGCGTATCATTTTCCTCCCCCAAACTTTGCAAAGGTTACTAAGGATATAACGAAATTTCTCAAATTTAAGGAAAATTTGTTGGTTTAAATTTCTGGTTTTGGAAATAGTTGAATATCAAACTTGTCAAATCTGATTTTGCACTCTTGTTATATATTTAAACTGATGTCTTATAAGATAGCATCATAAGTTTCTCTTTCTCGAAGGAAACTTGCACTGTGTCACTGTTGTCTTTCTTTTTTTTTCTTTTTTTTTGAGAAAAGGAAAATACAGCAACAAGGCCTAGTGCCTTAACATTATGGGGAAGCTAGTCCCCATGATATCATTACAAAGAAGCTGCCTACACTGAGGGGGAGGCTGGGTCAAAAAGGAAGGATCCGAGGACTGATCATGGAAGTTGGAAGCAAGCCAATCGGCCACAAAATTACCCTCTCTATGAACATGGGAGCAACGCACTATCCAGTTCCTGAGGATCAGAGAGTTAATTCTGGATATCAAATGGGAAAAGGGGTGGCTATCGTCACAGCCATTGTTAATAGCATGAAAGGCTGCAGAGGAGTCAGATTCAAGGCAAATTTTGCGGTAGCCTTTATCCCAAGCTAGTTGGAGGATGAGCAGGATGCCCCAGAGCTCCGCTCCAAATGCATTGATAGCTCCCAGGTTCTTGGTGAAACCAGCTAACCAATGGCCATTGTGGTCTCTTATAACTCTGCCACAGCCAGCCTTGCTTCCGAGAAGTCTACTTGAGCCAGCTGAGTTGGCTTTCACCCAACCGTGAGGGGGGGATACCAACCAATGAGGACCTCTCTGCGACACCGAGGGGAAAGCCCGACCGAGGAGAGCATTTCCTGAGAGTGATGAAAAGCGAGCACAAAGTTACGGGCATTGTGAACCACACTCATCGGTTGGGTGAGTTTGTTCTCAAAGACCAACTCATTATGACCTTTCCAGATGAGCCAGCAGGTGGTTCCAAAGAGCAAGCTCCAATGAGCTTGGCCAGAATTACGAAGGTTCTTTGATAACCACTGATGAAGGTTCCCGTGGAAGAAGTTGCTGATCTGCAGGAGCTGTGAGGTAGAGTGCCATATCTCTTTGGCCCAAGGGCAGTCGCGGAAGACGTGAAGACAATCTTCCACACGGTGGAGGCACCTAGGGCAAGCAGCTGAGTCTCCCATGTATCTGTATGATTTGTTGGCGTTGGTTAGGAGCTTATTGCCCATGAGAAGCCAGAGAAAGAAATTTATTCGATTGGGGCCATTCCAGTCCCAGACAAAGGACCAGTTGTTGGACAGCGTGTTGTTGTCGCCTCCAGTGAGGGAGTCATAAGCGGCTTTGATTGAAAATTTGCCATCTGAGGAGCTGGCCCAAATAACTTTGTCCGGTCCTATAGTGGGCGAAGGAGGGATGATACCAGCGATGAGGATGCACATGTTTGGAGGAAGGTAGCCCTTGAAGCTATTCCAATTCCAATTCCCATCCTGAGAGATGCAATCGACTACGACCCAATTAGAAGCGAAGGTAGGAATGGATCTGGTTGCATGATCAGAAAGCATTCCAACTGTGGGCACCCATCTGTCGTGCCAGAAGCTAGCCTTGAAACCATCCCCAAGGAGCACTCTGGAGCCGTTTTGAATGGAGGGCAACACCTCTGTACTCCTTTCCAGAGGTTTGACACCCCCCTCTAGAGGAGATAGAAGGCACCATATCATTACCCAAATTATACTTGCACCGCAAGACCTTGGCCCAGAGAGCGTCTTTGTTGGTAAGTAAACCATGATCGATTTTCATGATTAAGGCTTGGTTGAAAGAGCGAATCTTCCTCAAACCCAGGCCACCCACCGCTTTTGGAGTGCAGATTGTGTCCCAGTTGACCAAGTGGACCTTCCTGCTAGAATTAGAGGAACCCCAAATGAAGTTCCTAGAGAGCTTCTCAAGTTCATCACAGGAGGTCAAAGGAAGGGAGGCAGTCTGCATGTTGTAGGTAGGGATCGCTTCCAGCACGACTTTGGCAAGGGTGGAACGTCCTGCAAGGGAAAGTGCAGTCTGGTTCCAACCTGAGAGGCGATCATGGACTATTTGCAAAACGTGATCAAAGGAGTTTATGGCCAAACGTTTACTATGGAGGGGAACACCAAGGTATCTACCCAGGTCACCAAGGTCACCAGTGATGCCAAAGCCAAGACTCTCACTGATCTGGAAGGACCTATTGATGTTAACATTTTTGGATAACAACACTCGGGATTTGTCAGCACTGATCTTCTGGCCCGAAGCTTGGCAAAAGACTTTTAAAACTTGGTTGATGACATAAGCTTGTTCCAGAGAGGCCTCAGCGAAGAGCATAATGTCGTCTGCGAAGAAGAGATGGGAAATGGAGGGGCCATTGTTCTTAAACTTGAAAGGTTTCCACGCCTTAACTTGAGAACCCGTGAGGATTAGGTGAGCCAATTTTTCAACACAGAGAACGAAGATATAGGGAGAGGGGGGGTCTCCCTGTCGGATTCCTCTAGAAGGACAAAAGTTCTTGGTATTTCTTCCATTCCACAAGAGGTTCATAGAAGGGGTGCCAATGCAGGTGTCAATGACGTGGATTAGGTTGTCTGGAAGACCAATGTCCTTAAGAGTTTCGTGAAAAAAGTTCCAATCTAACCTGTCAAAAGCCTTCTCGAGGTCAAGTTTTATAGCCATCCATCCTTTGGAGCCTTTCTTGTTATGCATGGAGTGGATAATTTTCTGGGCAATGACAATATTGTATGTGGTGTTCCTCCCCTGGACGAAGCTGTTTTGGTTGGGAGCGACCAGTTCGTGCATGTTTTTCTTCAAGCGATTGGCAATGATCTTAGTGACAATCTTGTAAGAAACGTTGCGGAGGCTTATCGGTCTGAATTGTTTAATATATTCCGGATGGTCGACCTTAAGGATCAGGCAGATGAGGGTGTCATTTATCTCCTGGATCTTACTAGGGTTGCTGAAGATGCCTTGAACCAGGTTGCAAACTGAAGGTCCCACAGTTTTCCATTGCGTTTGATAAAAGATAGCACCAATTCCATCAGGGCCAGGTGCTTTAAACCTACCCATGCAGAAAACAGCAGCCTTGATTTCAGCATGAGTTGGGCAACTGCCCAAAGACGAATGATCAGCCTGCGAAATGGGAGGAAAAATATCAGGGAGAGGGAAGTCCCCATCAACAGTCCCATTCGCGGAGAAGAGGTGCTCAAAGAAGGAGATGGCATGGTTGGCTATCTCATCAGAATTGGCCAACCAAGCACCAGAATCATTACGGAGAGCTTCAATTCTGTTCCTTCTCCTTTTGGCGACAGTGGTGGAATGGAAGTGCTTTGAGTTTTTGTCACCGAATTTCATCCAGTTACATCTAGACTCTGAAACTAAGAAATCTCCTCCCGAACCAAAATGAGTTTCAGTTCTTTCCAGAGATCACGTTGGAGAGCTTCAAGGTTATGATTTCTAGAGTTGCACAGCTCCATGTCTATCCCCCTTAATCTGGCATAGAGCTTGTTCTTTTTTCTTTGGATGGCTTTGTAGCTGACCTCATGCCAATGAAGAATGTCCATCTGGAATTGGTTTCTGGCGGAGATCCAGTTGGGATGGAGC